GGAACCGAACTCACGACCTTGCGCTTGCGAGGCAGGCGCTTTTGCCGCTGAGCTAAATCCCCAGCCCCGTGTCCCTTTCTCCTTTATGAAGAAATATGATGAAATTAGAAGTCTCATGAGTTATCTTCTCATTCTACACTTATGTGGTCTTGTTTTGTTGAATTTACACATCCAGTTAGCTTCACTAATGGTAAAGACTGGCAAGCACTCTGGAAGTAAGAGTTTTAGAGTGCAGCAGTGTTGTGGGGCACAGAGAAACAAGGGTTGGCCTAGCCAGGTCATCTGAAAAATAAAATGTTTTGTTTTTTGAGTTTTTGCTCCCATAAGGAGAATGTGTAAAGGAAAAAGTCTCAGGAGTGTTACACAATTTTTTAGATGAGCTTATCTGAAATATAAAGAGAAGAACAGTGCAAGTAGGTAAAGTGAGCAAAGTCAGCATGACATTGAGGATATTATGCTTTTTCTAAGCTGACAGCAAGAAAACAAAGTTTTGCTTTTTAAAGTGAAAAGATAAATGAGGCCTTGATTCCTATATTTGGTATTACTATTCTTTCCAACTAAAATAATTCAAATATTTTCTTTTTTTAAATAGCAAACGAATGTTTCAGAAGACAGTGATGATGATGAGGATGAAGATGAGATTTTTGGTTTCATAAGCCTTTTAAATTTAACCGAAAGAAAGGTTAGTTTCACTGGATGGCATCTGAATGGTCACTCCTTGAGCCCAAACCATTTTTATGTAATGTGTGGTAAGGATGTCTTTTATGTCAGACTGGAACATTTACTGTAAGGATTTGAGCTCTTACTGTAACTCTTTCTTAGTGCAAAGGTGTTTTTGCTTTGAATGTTTGGTACCTGGTTAAAATTGTTCGCTCCCTGTGGTAGTCACCTGGCATTTGGCGCAGGAAATGGTTGTGTGGTGTCTGTGCAGCTGGTCTCTGCCGCTGCAGTGGACACTCAGGCCTTGCTGCTTTCTGAAGTTGAGAGCACCCACTGGCATTTACTTGAGTTTTGATTCCTCTTCTTCATGGACTCACTGATGGACTTCATAGGCTCATAAAAACAATACCAGTAGCGTACTCTTTTGAGAGTAAGATGCAGGCTACACGTTTAAAAATCTTTAATTTTAAGGTGAACTTTCCAGTTATTTCCCGTTGTGAGATGGACTAGAATTACTGTTCCAGCATGTGTTAACTGTAACCCTCTCTTCACCACCCATGGCTGGTAACTAAGCAGGGGTAGTTACTTCTGAGAAATACTTAAGCAGTCAACACCAAAGACATACCAGATCATAAAGGCTATGTCAGGAAAGTTCCCATACCTGTGAGATAGAAAAAAAGTGGCTCTCACTTTCAAGTTTTTGCCTGTAAGTGATGGCTTGTAATAAAAAGCAAAGTTTCTCTTTGCTTTCTAGGGTACCCAGTGTGCTGAACAAATTAAAGAGTTGATTCTAAGCTGCTGTGAGAAGAACTGTGAAAAGAACATGGTTGAACAGCTGGAGAAGCTTTTAAATGACAACACCAAGCCTGTGGGCTTTCTGCTAAGTGAAAGATTCATTAATGTCCCTCCACAGATCGCTCTGCCCATGCACCAGCAACTTCAGTAAGAGACTTCGGAAAATGCCTCTAAATAGTACCAAGTACATTCAGAAATGTCATTGAAATGGAAGGTATAGTAGAAAGAGTTCTAACATAGGAGTAAGCAAGTCTGGTGTGAGGAAGGGAAGAGATTTTGTGAGGTGCATTCATTTCTAACCTGCTTTTTGAAGAGTTTTATTTTTGGTAATTGTTTGAAGTGTGAAGATTTAAATGGTGCAAAAGTAGATGAATTTATCTAGACTTTTTACCCCATTTAACTACTTTTCACCTTGGTTTCTATAAGATGAATAGAACAATTACAACAATAACGAATTGAGTCAAATTCCTAAATTCCCCTGGTATATTTTATAATGAACGAAACTGTAGTCTTGATTCTATGTCTTTTGCTTTTGGAGTTTTTGTTATTTAATGCAGGAACTTTAAGTTTACCAAGTTTTTAAATATAAGTACTGAAGTTTTTAAATACAAAATATAAGTACTGAAGTTTTTAAATATAATATACTGAAAAACTTTCATTGTAATTCTATTGACTATTCTACAATTTAGGATGTCCACTTCTGTGCAGTTTCTACACTATATCAGAAATTAGTCCTGAACTCTGCATTTAAGATTGTAGTAGTCATGTTAGTTGTGGCTGTGTGCCTTTGTATGTTTCAGCTGAATAGTCATTGCTTTAAAAAATTTAGATTCTCAGGACTGGGATATAGCTCAGTGGCATAAGCGCCTGCCTGGCAATCACAAGGTTGAGTTCGATTCCCAGTACAAAAAAAAATAAAAAATAAAAAATTTAGATTCTTATATATGTATTTTTAACTGCACAGAGCAGTGATGTTGAGTGAGTTTGAGACTCATCTGTTAATTGCTGTGTATCTACATAAATTCAAGAGATTTCATCACATTGTTATAAAAAATGGTACTGTAGTCACTCTAAAGTGCAGCTGACTGCATAAATAAAAGACTTGGCTTTAGAAGTACCCAGATCAAATGCCTGTTCATAGACCAGTCACAGAAAAACTTACTGAACGTGCCTCGCTGGTTCTGTACAGGATTAAGGAAGCCCAACAGGTAACATTCTGCATATCTACCTTGTAGGAAAGAACTAGCAGAGGTACACAAAACTAATAAGCCATGTGGGAAGTGCTACTTCTATCTTCTGATTAGTAAGACGTTTGTGGAAGTAGGAAAAACCAATTCTAAAAAGAAATGGAGCACCCAAAAGAAGGATGAGTTGATGTTTGCAAATGCAGAGGAAGAATTTTTCTATGAGGTAAGACAGTCTTGTTTCATATATTTAAATATAAGGATTTTCTTGAAAATTACTAAATTTATTCTCCAATTTTATATGGAAGTTTCTCAGGTATGGCCACTAGCTAGCAGCTAACGTAGCACCTGGCAAAGTAGGTACTCAAAGGGCCACTTACCAACCTTCCTGCCACACTGTAGGTAGAATGTGTTTGTGTGGGAGTCAGTGCCTGTTCAGAATTGGTAATATGCTTACTGTGAGGTTTTTAATTCTACAGCCATACTGTGAGGTAGATGTGAGTCCACTTTACAGTGTGAATGTTGAATCTGAGCAGATTAGGGAAGTTACCTGAGATCACACAGTCAGTCAGTACAGAAGTTGAGGTGTCCTTGCTGCTCTGTTCCCTTAGCTGTGGCTGTCATCCCACTGGTGGGACCTCTAGTATTCCTTCTAAATAGGCAGCTTCTATGGTAATGGACAACCGAGAATACCAGAGAATATTCTTTCTTACCAGTCTTCCTCTCAAGATAACTGCGAAGGAACATATTTCTTTAAATTGGGTGATAACCACCACCTATTACTTTCGAGACTTACAGTCAATACTGAAGGAGGATAGAGTTACATGTGCTCTAGTTTACTAGGAATGGTAAAAATAATTTTTAAAAAGTGTATGCCTGAGCACTTCAGGCCATTTTGACAAAAGTATGTATAGGTGTTAACTTACCTGTTTCAAGCTTATTTTGAGAATCAGATGAGATCATGAATGTGAGCACCTTCGGAATTAGAAATAGTCTATATAAAGGGGTAATAGTAGTGGGATTACTTAGCTTCCTGTTCACCTCTTAGAAATGGCACACCTCAATCCATGTTCCTAGGGTAGGTTAAAAATCTGTTTGCTGAATGTTTTATAATTTTTCCCTGAATATCTCATTGGAATTTATCTTGTTCTGAGTTTTTGCTCCCTTTAGCTGTTATTCTTGTTTGAACATATATGAAAATAATATTCTTTGTGTAGATTGAATTTTGGTTTTGGTTGTCCACATTTTTAATTCATGATTACTTTTTTGCTATAGAAGGCAGTCCTGAAGTTCAACTACTCAGTGCAAGAGGAGGGTGACACTTGTCTGGGAGGCAGGTGGTCTTTTGATGATGTACCAATGAAGCCCTTGCGAACTGTGATGTTAATTCCAGGAGACAAGATGAGTGAAATCATGGATAAACTGAAAGAACATCTATCGGTATAGCCAATTTCCCATGGACAGTGAGTGATGGGCTTGTTTTTGTAAAATTATCAGAAAACCCAGTGGAGATTTACTGGAAAACTCATGACTTTATTCAGATTAAAGTCCTCTACAAAAAGTAGGGTTCTGTTCCATGTGTCTGTGACACATTTACAAAATGCTTTTTAAAAAAAATTTTGGACAAATTATGAATAGTTGATTAAAAACTTCCAATAAGACAAAAAAAAATGGAGTAGGAATTTAAAGAACTCAATAAAAATGCCTCTATTTTTTATTTTAAAATCATGTACAAAGTGTTATTTTTTCAAGACTATCCTGTGGGCGTGGTACCCACCTCTGCATTAAGTATTTGCACATAGTTCCAGTGGGCCCACTGTCAGGTCACTTTGGGATCCTTATTGCACCTCGGGTTTGGCGGGCCGTCACTGAATAACGCATCTCTGTTCAGTAGTTTCAGGGCACTTCTCACACATTGTCTGTTCCTGTTTCATGGTTGAAATAGGAGACAAGTGATCCATTACTTGCTGTAGGATATCCTTACTTTCACTAGGAGGCAGATTACTGAAGTAGTATTGCGGTACCAGTTGCATAAATCTGTTCAAAACAAAAAGATGAGATGAGAGCAGGGGTGTGATGAATACTAAACATCATGTCTGGGTCCTTACAGAATCAGTATTTAACTTCCCCATATCTCAGTCTACCTTTGAAGAATAGTTTCTGGTTTTCATGTAGCCAATCCAATTGCATTTTTAGGATAAGATGGCTTCTCTAGTGCCGGGCTATCTGGTGCAAGTGTTCCTTGCCATTGACTTGGTAGACACTACTTCCTCTAGGCTTATCACCATATGAGAACAATCAGATCATATGCTTGGGAGAGATCTGCTTCTTACTCAACTAGTACCACTCCTTATCTAGCTGCTTATGAGCAAGCTCTTGGTTGCTGCCTTGAACATCACTTTGCCCAAGAAGTAGTGACACCTTTGAAATGGATCCAGAATCTGCAGTAGCCTCTGTCCTCAGTATCACCCTTCTACCCATTTTCTGCTTAGCTGCCATTTAATATGTAGAGATGTTCCTCTTGCCTAAAACTCTAACTGTTCTGTTCTTATGATACAATCCAAACGCTTTATGTGGCCCAGAAAGCCCTACACCCTTTGGTATCTGCCTATGTCTTCAACCTCATATTCCCTTCTTTGCCTTCCTCACTAGCTCCAGACATACTGTCTCCTCTGTTCCCAAAAGCTCATTACTCCACACCTCAAGGTCAGTGTGCCTGCTATCTATGCCTTCCTTGTAATACTTTATTCCTCTTAAGACAGTGCTGTTTCATATTTGTACCTTGTCTTCTTGTTAAGCTTAAAGGCAGCGATGTTTCTTAGGTATCACCCACAGAGACCTGCCTGTAGTAGGTACTGTCTACGTAAAGATAGGTACCAGTATGAACTTACAGCTAAACATGCAGTAAAAACCAATTCTGTCATTCGCTGCTACAAGTGTGAGTTCAGAAGAAACCCTTTTTTCTCTATTAAACTTACAGTTGAGGAGAGATTGCAGAGGTGATCCTGATGTAGTTGTTCTCAGATATACTGAACTGGTGGAAGAGGACCCACTCGGGCATTTTCTTGGTGATGGAATAACTAGACAAGGGATGCAACTGAGCCACCTGCTTATGTGTTAGCATTAAGTAGTTACCCGACCCATCGACATCTCGAGCAATCTAAAAGCAGTTTTAAAGAAAAAAAGATTTTGCATCAATGGAGAGATCACTACACAGGTATTTCATACTGAATAGTTAAAACTAAAATGTGCCACCTTTGTTTCTGGTTTTCAGATGTAGAAAGTAAGCCATAAACATAAGACAGTAATGATGTTAACCAGCAATTTCAGGGCAGTATGTTAAAATAGTATAGGTACAAGGCGAATGTTTCAGTCATGAAATAAAACTTCGCACACTTACCTGCTATATTATGGTCTATGTACCCAATGTCCAGGTTTTACACTTGATGTTGTAGCTCACTTAACACCAAACCCTGTGAGGTACCTTACCTTTTTCCTTACAGATGAGGAAATTCATGCTCAAATAGCATTTTTTTTCTGTTAAGGCTTATGTGGAAATACTATACTTTTTCTCATACTATGATGTGAAGGTGATCCCCATTTAATGTAATATGTTTTACTTAGCTTTCACTGTGGGAAAAGACAAAATGAAACTGTCCTTTTATTCGTCAGGCCTTGGTATCAGGGGAGAAACTACATCTGATGTTCATCTTCCTTTCTATACCGAGAAGGTCTTTTGTCCTTTAGACAAAGTCAGTGTATTCTGGCTTGGCCTTGTACTCCTTTGAGGGGACATAAATACCAACTCTTTAGTAACATATGTATTTTTAGTTTTATTTAAAGGTAAGGTCAACAAAACCATCACCCTAAGAGAAAGATTGCTGGTCAAATATTCTGAGTATAGAGAATTTGGTGCAGCCACTGCCAAGACAACCCGGCACCTATTTACCTGCATAAAGTAACCAGACAACAGTGCTTTCTTGATGTTCAGATTGTTTTCCTCGGAGCCAAAAGCAGGTTCTGCATAGGGAAGCTCAATTCGCTTGATAATTTCTAAGAGTTCAGCTCGGATAACATCTGCCATCCTGAGAGCAGAATAGTTGAGGAAGTAATCTTGACACCACTTTTCCACACAGTCTAAGAGGGAGAGGAGAGAGGCTGCTTAGATATAATTCATCCTAAGCTTGAAAGAGCCTGGGTCAGGCAGGCACTGTCTGTAAGCCCTATGTACTCTTCTAAGAAGGTCACACAAACAAGTGGTAGGAAAGCAGCAAGGAAAAGGCTCTTGTGGCTATAGGATCAGCTGTCTGGCAGTCCCAGGAAGAGGACTGTGTCACTGGCATCACCTATACCAGCTGGGTGAGGGTCCAGGACCCTGTGCAATGGGGTAACAGTATGTTAACAGTGTTGATTAAAGGTATATTTCCCTTAATCTGTGGCTGTTGGGAGGCAGAGAAGATTGTGTTAGAATCTACATTTTCATGTTGCGTGTATCGCAAAGGTATACATAACTGCAACATTTAAACTAGGAAGGAAAAGGATTACAGTATAAATTCCTCTAATACATGAAAGTATCTTACATTTCATTTAATACGAAAAGGATTACTTAACTACCAGACTGACTGAAGGAGTTAGTTATGTGACACTGAAGCTTATCTGTGGTGTCCACAACTTTATTAAAATCCACTCATCTGGTTTAGTCTGAAGTTATCTTTCTTGTCATTTGTGTACATTGAAGTTTTGCTGTGACCTGGGAATGCACATGGCCTGGCACATTAGGCAGAAGACACCCACTAACCTTGCCCTGTCCACGTAGGCCTGTTTGGAGCAAGAGTCTGTACTTGTTCAAACACTGTCACCCAGCCTGCTTTTAAATAGCTTAACTCTGCTCTTTCCCAACTCCCTGCTCTTCATATGGTTCTGCTGCCTTTCAAATTGTTGTCATGGGGCTGGGGATTTAGCTCAGGGGTAGTCTGCCTGGCAAGCGCAAGGTCGTGAGTTCGGTTCCCGGTACCGGAGAAAAACCAAAAAAAAAAAAAAAACCAAATTGTTGTCATAATTCCACATTTCAGGTATTTTTCACACCATCTTTAGTAGCAAAGGAAATAAAAGATGCTTCATGGAAAACAAAAGTGAAAAAAATCCTCCTTTCAGGAAAGGCGCTCCTCACTGGCAACTTTTGGTGGCTCCAACCTTCACTATGTGCTTTGCCCTCTGTCCCTGATGTAGAAGCTTCCAATTCACTTAGCACCAGCTACCTGCCTGAGGGGCTAATGTATCCACGGTCACTCAGGTACACACAGTGGTTCTGCCTCTGTTTCTCACTCTCGCTTGTGATGTTCTAGATCTCCTCTGCTTCTGGTCAGTCATGCTTCAGTCGAATTCCTTCCAGACTTCACGAGTACACTATTCCCTGGAGCTTGGGTGGTTTGGTTTCCAGTGTTCAACATGCTCTCCAAGTGGGAAGTGAAAATGCTAGGTTGTAAAAGGACAAAGCAGAACTCTGACAGAGCGGGCACTTGGAGATGTCTGCTTTTGTCTTCCTAACCAATTCTGTGGGTTCCCATGTCACCATGGCCCACGCACTGAAGGCTAGCTTAGCAGAGTATCAAAGCTCTAGAAACGCAGGCACACACAGCAGCACACTGACACTGGAGTCAGAAGATAAGTGTCTACAGCACAGCAGGAACCTGATTTTTAGGTTTTTTGGGGGCCTCAAGTACCATTCCACTGAAGTGACCAACAGGGCTACAGGAAAAGGGTGGTAATGAAGGACACAAGTCAAACACTCAGCCTTATTTGGGAAAAGAAGGTGGAATCAGGTGGTTTGTGAGAATCAGATGCATTCACTTACGTTCACTCGTTAAGTTCAGAGTTATGTCTTGGTAGGCCTTATAAATGTTGATGAGGGTAAAGTGATCACCTTCAGGATGTAGAAATGTTTTCCAACAAGTCAAGGCAGCTTCCTCAGCTCCACGAGGCAGATGTGAAAAGCAGTTAGGAGCTTTAAAATGCAAAAGTTCACATGGTCACCAATAATGAGGACATTCATCTTTGCATAGAGTGCAGAGGGGCAAGGTACTACCTGTTTGTGGAACTGCTCCTGCTTAGTTCTTTGTGTAAATGTTACTGTTTACAGAAGTCAAATTTACAGCAAGTCATCCTAATTCTCCATTTGTGTATGTTGCTTTGCTAAGGTTTGTGTAACAGTATTAGCGGGGTAGCGGGTGTAGACAGCTCAGAGGCCCAGACAAATTGGGGATGAAGACTGTTAAAATGCAGCACAGGATTCACCTGTGCTGCCACCCAAAGAATACATGAAAACACACACCAGGATGAACCAAGCTGCTAGAAATAAAAACCACACATAGTTATTTGGGCAAGAACACTTCTAGTGGCACTTTTTCTTGATCTGCACTGATCTCTTTAGCAAAAGTAAACTTGGTATGTTTTTGCATTCTTGATTAGGGAATTTACTAGATTTAGATTTTTCATGTTAAAGTTATAATTTTTCTAATCTGTTAAAATACTATCATTTCTAAAGGTTAAATGAATTAATCACTGTCCCTGCATGTACTCCTTGACACAATTTCAAATGGATCTTATTTAAATCTATACTTGGTACAGATTCACAGTACAAAGAAAAGTCATTAAAGAATACCTGTTACCATGGCAGCAATGGTTAACATCTCATCTACACAGTCAAATTCACAGGATGCTAAGAT